TTTTATTCAACCTGATTTTGAGTTGATATGGTAGATCAGATTGGTTTTGAGCATTTCTGGGTCACCTAGTTGGGATTTTGAGTTTCTGTGGGTGTTCAAGTTAATTTTTTCGAAATTATTCCTGAATCTGCTATGCTATGAAATCACCTGTGGGCTGTTGATTTACTTCTGAGCTGTGCTAAGCATCAGTGGATTGCTGCTGCTGTATTTATTGTTGCTGACCTATCCTGTTTCTCCTTGTATTTCGAAGTCAGGTACACATTCTGAGCTTGACACAATGTATCCTCATCCTGCTGGAAATGTAAACTGAAACTGAAGCAGCTTGCCGCTGTGGATTCGTAGTTTAAATGAATATGTTATTTGGTCTTGGGAACTGCTTATTAGTTGTCGAATGTGTAATTCAATTAAATCATTTGCTTGGACTGGTTTGATACATGTCTGATAGTTGATTCCTGTAGGTAAGCTCATTGGACTGTTAAACTCGGACTGTTCGACTCAAAATGATTCCTGCTACTTGAATTCGTATACGAATTTTATAATTGTTAAGTTAGCTCAGTTGATTAGTGACTTTAAATTTGGTTCAACATGCTGTTAGTATGGCGTAGGATAACGCGATGTAGTTTCATCTTTGTTGTTAATGTTTAAAAGTGACTCATGTTTCAGTGTTAGCTTCAACACGTTTAATCCAGGGACACCTGAATATTGGTAGCATAGCATTAATCCAAATGAAGCTCATCACAGTTGTTTGTTTTAACTGAACTGGCAATTAGACTACTACTACTATCGAATCCCAGAAAACGTGAGTAATTGCATAATTTGGTAATCACATTGGGAAGGCTGGGACGTTTGGATTTACATTCAGGCTGTCCCTGCCTGGGTTCGATCCTGAAGCTATGTTCCTCAGTTATACCTGGATGTATTTAATCATATATGGGCCAACTGTTCCAACATTAGGCCCAAAGTGTTGGGCCCTTAGCATTTTGGACAGAATTCTTTATTTCTGAGTTATCAATTGGCAAAGTTTAGTAGCCGTTTAAATTGATGCAACTCCAGTTGGGCCTGGGCGTTTGTTTTTGGGCCCAAAGGCATATCTAGACCAATGGCAAGTTAATTGGGACTTTTACCCCCTTATTAGAGACTAAATTGAACGGAGACTTGTAGATTGTTCTAGGATTGGCCTTTAACTAAAACGCGACGAGCCTCACCGAATAAAACTACAAATTGCGCGGCCCTCAACAGAAGTGAAGACTCACTTTTTCTTTCTGAGTCACATGCCCTCACATAAACAAAATTTGAGAGAAGTTCCACACACATAAAATTCAATAACAATGAACCATATATAGAAAGAATTCACTCACTCTCAGCAAAGAGCATTCACATGCCACACAGAAACACCATAAGCTTGCCCCTAGTGTACTACTCCACTAATCGAGCCATTCAGTCAAAGATCAAGAGGTATTTATAGGTTGTAATGTAGGCTAAGGGACGGGTAGGATATATTTGGATATAGTGACTAACCTCCCTAAGCACTTTTAATACAAACTTCCTTTTGTTTCACCTTCATGTTCAACCCAATCCTTATTCCACATTTTCGTTCACTTGTGACCCCCACTTTTCGTTAGGTACAACTGGCTTCTTCTTTTTCTTTTCTTTTCTCTTTTTTTTTCAGATTTATTGTACACTGCCAGTTCACCAACCAGAACCTTCATTCTTGATTCCCTTTTTTTTTCACTAGCTCTCTCCCACCCCACACTTTGACTTTTGTATATTCTTTAGTGATTAAGTGCTTCTAGGAGGTAAGGGTTCAAACAATTAGCTTATTCAAACACAACGATTTAGATTATTATAGGGTTATCAAAGAACAGGCTTCAGGCTCAAAGGGGTTAACTATGGTAATATTCACAGGTGGATTCTCAAGTATAAAGGGTTGCACAAAGAAATGCCTCAATCATCTCTAAAACCAAACGACTTCTATTTCGCTTTGCAAACACACAGGGCAAGTTCTAGGTATCATATGCAAGCATAGGATGCAAGTAACAACTCACACACACTTAGCATGTAACCCATTCCGAATCAGTTCATCAACACAATCATACGAGTGTTCAAGCCAGACAAGATGTGCAAAATTAAGGCATATATTATGAGTCCACAAACAAGCTTAGACGTCCCTCTCAAGTTCTTTTCTTTGCAAGTGTGCACCTTTGGGGTTACATTCTCACCTTCACCCATCTAATCCTAACACTACAAAGGAAAAATCTACCTAACCCGGTTCAAGAAAACCCTTGGAAAAGAACCGTGGTCAAAAGAAAAACCAAGGGGGAGGTACTACACTACCTAAAAGAAGAAAATAAAATAAAAAAAATTCTACATGGACTACTTCCCTCAAAAGTACTGTCCACATAGTCCGTCATCAGGAAGAGTCCTCTAACTTTGTTTTTGGGGTTTTTTTTTTTAATTAGTTCCGACTTTGACCTAACACTAACGCTACACTACATTACAGCTATACATAATACAACATACAAACAGAACAAGTCTCTCACCCCACACATAAAATCATGGCATGTCCCCATGTCATATAAATAAAGT